GTCGAAGTCGATATCCAGTCGTTCCGATCTTCTCGATGATCTTGAAGGGTCCCAAGTACGGCATCCGCATCTTGGAGGGTGTGACGTCGTCCGTGCTGAAGTGATACGCGGTCGTGTCGATCAGGACTTGGTCGCCAATGTCGTAGCTGATATCGCGTCGATGTCGGTTGGCGTAGTACAGGGCCCGGTCCTGGGCCTTGCCGATGTTGTCCGAGACCAAGTCCAGAGTCGCTTGCATCTCCTCGATCGACTGTGCTGCAGGGTTGGACTCGGCGATGATGTCGGTGTTGGCAGGAGTGCGAGGATGCTGACCGTGCATCAGGAAGAAGGGCGAATGTCCAGTCGAAGCTGAGCTGTGTGAGTTGAGCGCGAACTGGATGTATGGCACTTGATCGATCCAGCGGGAGCCGAGGGCCAGAGTCGAACAGCGGATGGCCTCGGCGACGGTTGCCACAAAGCGTTCGACTTGTCCGGCGGCCTCGTGGTGGTGGGCAAAGGCGATCCGGAGTTCGGTCTTGAGCAGAGTGTTAAGTCCTGTCCAGAAGGCCGACCGGAAGCGTGTGTCGTGATCCGAGATGAAAGTGCCGGCGAGTCCAAAGTGCACAAAGACATCGCGGAAGTACTGGCGGGCGACGTCTTCGGCCGAGTCGGTCTTGTTGCCAGGAACCAGGACGACGTACTTGGTGAGGGAGTCGACAAAGATCGTGATCGAGTTGAAGGTGCGTCCCGAGAGTGAGTCCGTGACAGGCGGGAGTCCGAGGATGAAGTCGAGGGCGACAGTGTCCATCTTGCGGGTGGCCACAGGGATCCGGGAGAAGTGACCGTATGCTTGTTGTCGTCGGATCTTGGCTCGCTGGCAGATGTCGCAGTGCGAGACCCACTCGGCAATGTCCTTGGACATGGCGGGCCAGTAGTAGTGTGTCGAGATGGCCTTGTAGAGCGTGTTGGTGCCGGGGTGAGCTGCACAGACAGAGTCGTGGTGGTCCTTGATGATCGAGATGCGGAGGTCCTTGCCGGGGATGCAGATGCGGGTCGAGTCGAAGTAGAGAATCCCGTGTCGAAGTGAGAAGCGGTGCAGCTGTGCCTTCATCCACGGCTTGAGTCCGTCGGTCGAGTTGTCGCGGAGGACCGAGATCAGTGCTGACAGGATCGGGTCGGAGCTGTACTGAGTGCGGATGGTGTCCAAGAGATCGTCGGGCGAGGGTCCGAGGTTGACAATCGCGTTGATGATCGAGACTTGGACGGCCTTGGAGATGGCTGTCGGTGTGCGCGAGAGCACGTCGGCGACCTTGTTCCACGAGCCGGGGATCCACTGGATCTCGAGGTCAAAGTCCAGCATCGTGTCGATGGCTCGCTGTTGGCGCTTGTTGAGGGTCTTGGAGTCGAGGATGTGCTTGAGCGCCTTCTGGTCGGTGTGGAGGAAGACTTTGCGGCCGACGAGGTAGTTCTTGAACTTGTCGAGGTGGCGGGTGATCGACAGCAGCTCGCCGTTGTAGGGCGAGTAGTTGAGTTCGGATCCGTGCAGTTTCTGCGAGTTGAAAGCGATGGGGCGCACCGTGCCGGATCCGTCCATGTCCTGCCCGATCCATCCACCAATCGATGCGCTTGACTCGGACCAGTCGGTGAAGAGGTGAATGTCCTTGTCCGGGTTGACCATGTGCAGCGACTGAGGCGAGAGCAACTTGAGCTGCTCGAAGGCGGCGATGGCGTTGTCGTCCCAGACGACGGACTTGGTCGAGTTGGCGGAGCGGGTGGTGATCAGAGTCGAGAGTGGACCGGCGAGGGCAGCGTAGCCAGGGACAAAGCTCATGATGGTGTTGGTCAAGCCGAGGAAGCTGCGGAGTTCGTGTTCGGTCGTTGGTCGCGGGTAGTTCTTGATGGCGTCGATGCGCGAGGGATGCACTTGGATGCGTCCTTCGCCGATGATGAAGCCGAGATAGGTGACGGTCGAGTTGAAGAACGAACACTTCTCGGGTCGGATCTTGAAGCCGTGTCGGTGGATCTTGTCGAGGACCAGTTCGATGTGGCGGATGTGCTGGTCCTCGTCCTCGGATGCGATCAGGATGTCGTCGATGTAGACGAACACAAAGTCGTCGATGAACTCGCGGAAGATGTCGTTCATCGCGGCTTGGAACACGGAGGGACTGTTGGCGAGGCCGAAGGGCATCACAAGCCACTCAAAGTGGCCGTACTTGGTCCTGAAGGCCGTCTTGGGGGTGTCGGCGTCGGCAATGCGGATCTGGTGGAATCCGCGTTGCAAGTCGAGCTTGGAGAAGACACGGCACTTGGACAGGCGGTCGATGATCTCGCGCATGTTGGGCAGCGCGGTGCGGTCCTTGACGGTGATCTTGTTGAGGGCGCGGAAGTCAAAGACGAGTCGGAACTTGTCGCCCTGCTTGACCCAGAAGATCGGTGCGCCGAAGGGCGAGACGGACTTGCGGATGTGGCCGATCCGGAGCAATCGGTCGAGTTCGTCTTTGAGACGAGCGAGTTCTTCGGCCGACATTTGGTAGAGCGACGACCAGGTTGGCTTGGCAGAGTCGTCGAGTCGGATGTTCATGTCGATGCCGGGTCGGTGAGGCGGGAGTTCCTTGAGTTCGTTGAAGGCATCGCGGTACTTTGCGATGATGGATCGGTGTTCGGGGGTCAGTGGTTCGAGGACACGGGCAAGTTGGGCAACGGGGTCGTAGGGTTCAACAGCAACTGTATTCAAGTCACTGCTCAGAGTACAAACATACACGGCGCCGGGAGTCGAAGCCAGTGCGTTGATCTGCTGGGTCGACATGTGGTACTGGGATCGGAGTTCGAGGGTCGTGAGTGGCATTCCGGTGTCGGGTCGCGATGCCGTCCAAGTGTGGTGCTTCCCGTCGATCGAGAACTTGATTCGGTTGGAGGGCCAGTCGATCTCGGGGTTGGTCTGGTCGAGCCAGTTCTTGCCGAGGATAACGTCCCAGGTGAGTGGCGCGGTGAAGAGGTTGATGCGGGCGTGGTAGTCGTGGATGGTGAGGTCGACGGGATCGGTGACGGAGGACGGGAAGGACTTGCCGTTGGGCATCGTGACGGCGTTGGCGGTGGTCTTGGTTCGAAGGTCGAGGGTCGAGGCGAGGGTCTCGGAGATGTGCGAGTTGGTCGCACCAGGGTCGATGAGGACGGTGATCGGGGAGCCGTTGAGGGTGGCGTCGATCACAAGCAGTCCCTTGCCGTGGTTGGCGGCAATGCGGTGGGGTTCGTCGATGAGAGAGTTGATCAGGTGAGGTCCGGTGGCGAGAGTCAATAGTTCAGCGTCGGGGGTCGGAGTCGGATGGCGGCAACTCGCCGGGTCCTTCAGAGGTCGTAGTATCCAGGGGTTGCCGCCTCGTCGTTTCCCTGATCTTCGTAGAAGGTGGCCTGGTCGGCGGTCTCGACGATGGCGTTGATGCGGGGCTGGTTCAAGGGACACTGCGAGGCGATGTGGCCGAACTTGCGGCAGCGGAAGCAGCCTCCGTTACGGCGGAGGTACTCCTTCTCGCGGTCGGTGAGCTTCTTGATCGGGCGCATGTCGACGTTGTCGAGGTCCATGGCGTTGGGGTCACGTGCGGGAGGCTGGGTCGGCTGGAAGGCGGGACGAGGAGGACGGACCATTGGGCGGAACTGCGGCTGACCAGGTGGAGCGCGGAAGAGAGGAGGTCGCTGGAACTGGAGCTCGCGGAAGGGTTGATCGCGGAACTGAGTGCGAGCGGGCTGCTGCATCAGGGGTTGCGATTGACCCATAATGGACTCGTATCGCTCGGCGAGGGCCATGGCATCTTCGAGGGTGGCTGTGTTGGAGTCAAGCTTCCATTCGACTTCGATGCGCACCCTGTGCTTGAGCTTGGTGAGGTAGCGCTGCAGGTTCTGGCGGTTGTTGCTGAAGTGGGGCAGCTCGAGGAGGAGATCGCGGAAGCGAGAGTTGAACTGCTCGACGGAGCCGGTGTGGCGCAGTGCTTCGAACTCATCCTCGGTGGTGCGCAGCGAGGTGGACGGAAGGAAGGTGTCGCGGACGAGGGACAGGACGGCGGCCGGGGTCAGGTTGTCGAGTTGCTTGCCCTGGGACCAGAGGCGCCACCAGGTCTTGGCCTTGCCCTTGAGGTTCATGGCGACGGTGGCGACAGCGGTGGCGTCATCGAGACTGTGGAAGGCAATGTACTCGGTCATTGAGAAGACAAACTCGTCAACGACAGCAGCCTTACGCTCGCCAGTGAAGGCGTCGGGGAGCGGGATCTTGGGACGCTTGAAACCGGGAGGGACCGTGGGGAGATTCGGCTGGGCAGTCAGGGCGGAGAGGACCAGGGCGCGGTCCTCGAGCGATAGTTGTTCAAGGGCCTGGAGACAGGCATTGACGGCGGGATCGTCCGATGCTACCATGTCAGATCACGGGATCAAGAGGAGATCAAAAGAAAAAGATAGAGAAGGGTTTTATTGATCTTAGCGAGGCTAGGATCTAGAGTCAAGTGTGTCTGGGGTCGAAGGTGATGACCAGAAACATGAGCGGGTGAAGGCGGGCTATTTATCTGTCTGGCGGTCCCGGAGGCGAAGCCTGCCGCAGCGGGGGCGAAGCAGCGGAGGCGGCGGGACAGCAGCCAGGCAGCAACGGCTAACCGGAGAAACATGTGAAAGTCTGACAAATGCTCGGTGGCTGACAAATGCGGGTGACACAGCGTCTGACTAATGCATGGTCGATGACAAATGCAGGGAAAACAGAGCGGCGTGTGCAACATGAGAGCAAGGAAAAAGGAAAGGCGTCACAGGACAAAGGAAAAGGAAAGTGTGCGACGCAAACAGTGACACAAGTGCGACGGTGCAGCTAGGCGGGCAGAGCGATCTGTGACATCGTCGTTCAAGCCACCGTAAAACTTGGCAATGCGGGCGGCCTCGTTCCAGTGGATGTCAGCCTGAAGGAGCTGGAAGTCCGATGCGTAGACTGATGCGGGCTTGCGTCCTTGCACTAATTTCATCATCGAGGCTTCAGCTCTCATTTCGGCATGAGGATCCCCATAACGAGCCTCGAGGTGAGTGCGAAACTGGGCAAAGTTGCGGAGCAGAGGGCTTTCTAACTTGACAAGGCTTGCAAACCAGTCGGAAGGGGGTCCGGAGAGGAGTGTGCCAACCAGGCCCACTCTGTGGGCATCGGTGGGGTAGCGGGGCTCATGAAGGGTGAGGACAATATTGACCTCAGTCAAAAACGAACGAAGCTGGTGGCGATTCCCATCAAACGGTTCAGAGGTAACAGATGATGGGTCGATTAGAAAAAAGAATATGAACATGGATATACGGTTTCCCCTGTTGTAACCTTCATACTGGATGTACAAAACGGGAGATACATTGGACACGAAGCAGTGATACGATTGATCGCGACTATATGAATATCATAAAGTCATTGGAGCGAGGATCGAAATGATATTGATGGGTGATGAGAAACAATCGAGTCGGTTTTGCGATCATAATCGACTTCTTTTAGTTTGAGATCGCACCTGAAATATGATGTTTGTCAGAGCGAGGATTCTTGATTATACATTATCCAAGGAATGAAGAAGTTGCAGAATGACAAATAAAGTATTGTGGAAGTTCAAAAGTGCGATTCGCCCATGCTTCGTGAGCTTAAGGATAAAATGCCGTGATCAATATAATGTGTCGAATCGCCCACCAACATTCAAATAATTTGCAGCTCCGAATTTGACCTGATGTCTGAAAGTAGGGTGAATTTTGATTCACAAGTCCACCGAGACGGATGTAGAAATGAGGCTGTAGATTGGAATAAAGGGAGATCAAGCAGCCTCTCTCCTTCATCGACCCTCTCCCTCTCCGCCTCGTCCCGTTCGTCGAGCGTTGCCTCAAGATCGATGCACGTATTATCGAGCTCAACAACGAACTCCGAAACACCGGCCCTGTTTCCTTCGGCACCCAGGCCTTCAACTCCCGACCTCCGTCCTTCCAGCCGCCCGCCCAGGAGCCTCCGGTCCTCTACTCCGAGCCGATGCAGATCGACGCCGCCGTCGTCAGCCGCCTGACCCCCGAGGAGAAGAACCGCCGCTTCCAGGAGCGCCTCTGCTTCCGCTGTGGCAAGCCCGGCCACGTCGCCAAGTCCTGCCCCCTCAAGTCCGGCTCCCGTGCTCCCGCCTCTGGTTCCCGCTTCCCTGGCTCCCGTCCTCAGGCTCCCGGCTCCCGTCCCCGTTCGAAGGCTGTCCGAACCATCGTCTACGATGATGGTGAGGAGGAGCACTTCGAGTCGGGAAACGACCAGGCCCAGGCCCAGATCTAAGTGGTGGCTTAGATCTGGAGCCGTCCCCCCTTCCTCCAGAAGCAAGCGTCGATGGTAAGGAGCATGAGGTAAGTGTCGAGCGCATGGCTATGTGTGGAATGATCAATGTAGTCGGTGGTGGATCGCACTCTGTCAAACCCGCCTCTTCTAAGGGCACATCTGGCTCCCAGATGTCTTTGACAGAGCTCCCGATCTCCACACCACCTGCGAACTTGGTCATCTGCTCGAACCATGCTGCCGACACTGATCTCTGCTCCGAGCCTTCTTCGTGCGTTTCGTCGATTTCTTCGTCTTCTCCCGTTTTCTCCGCTTCTCTTGTTCTCCCTTCTGGTCGCTCCCTCTCTTGCCAACTTCTCGTCGATTCTGGCGCCTCCGGCAACTTCATCGACGAGAGCTTTGTTGACCGCTTCTCGGTCCCCCTCGTTTCCAAATCCACTCCCCTCCCTGTCCAAGGTGTCGATGGCCAGCCACTTTCTTCCGGCCCTATCACTTTTGAGACGGAACCCCTCAATATTGTTCTTGGGGACTACACTCAACACCTTTCCTTTGATGTCATTAAGTCTCCCCACCAACCTGTTATCCTTGGCTATCCCTGGCTGCAGTCCATCGAACCCAGGTTCCACTGGGCTCGTGGACTCCTTTGCCTTCCCCGTCCTGCAAGCCACATCCTCAAGGTTGTGGATGCCTCTTCCCTCCCTTCCGTTTCTTCCGTTTCTCCTTCTCCCCTTCCTCTTGTTGGCGACACACCCAATGTTTTCCCTCGTGCCTCTACCGACACCACTGTGGTGCTCGCTTCTTCGCCTCGCACCGTTTGTACTCGCGAAGATGATCAGAATAAAGTGATCGCTCAACGTTATTCTGATTGTGTTCCGAGTGAGGTGCCCTGTTCCTGTCAGATCACGGGATCAAGAGGAGATCAAAAGAAAAAGATAGAGAAGGGTTTTATTGATCTTAGCGAGGCTAGGATCTAGAGTCAAGTGTGTCTGGGGTCGAAGGTGATGACCAGAAACATGAGCGGGTGAAGGCGGGCTATTTATCTGTCTGGCGGTCCCGGAGGCGAAGCCTGCCGCAGCGGGGGCGAAGCAGCGGAGGCGGCGGGACAGCAGCCAGGCAGCAACGGCTAACCGGAGAAACATGTGAAAGTCTGACAAATGCTCGGTGGCTGACAAATGCGGGTGACACAGCGTCTGACTAATGCATGGTCGATGACAAATGCAGGGAAAACAGAGCGGCGTGTGCAACATGAGAGCAAGGAAAAAGGAAAGGCGTCACAGGACAAAGGAAAAGGAAAGTGTGCGACGCAAACAGTGACACAAGTGCGACGGTGCAGCTAGGCGGGCAGAGCGATCTGTGACATCCCCCCCAGAAAAATTGTGCTCAAGTCAAACCATCAATTTTTCGATCCCGAGTTGCGTTGCACTTGTGCTTGGCAAAGGTCGATCAGTGTGTCCATTTCCGGAAGGTTGCGGTTGCGGCTGAGGAAGTCGTGGATATCTGCGAGTCCTCCATCCAAGAGTTCGGCCAGTGGTGCCCACGAGTCGTAAGATGGGTCGTATCCCTGCCAGCGGAGCAAGAACTCGTGTCGATATCCAGGAAGTCGACGTCGTCGGTTGATCCTGTGTCCAATGATCGCTTCGAACACTGATTCGTCGTTGTGGTTGGGTCCGGGTTCATCAAACACAAGTTGGTCGGTCGATGGTGTGTTGTAGGGGACGAGGGCGGAAGCGGGGAGTTCGGTTGTAAATCGGAGGGTCCTCGGGAGTCGAAGTCGATATCCAGTCGTTCCGATCTTCTCGATGATCTTGAAGGGTCCCAAGTACGGCATCCGCATCTTGGAGGGTGTGACGTCGTCCGTGCTGAAGTGATACGCGGTCGTGTCGATCAGGACTTGGTCGCCAATGTCGTAGCTGATATCGCGTCGATGTCGGTTGGCGTAGTACAGGGCCCGGTCCTGGGCCTTGCCGATGTTGTCCGAGACCAAGTCCAGAGTCGCTTGCATCTCCTCGATCGACTGTGCTGCAGGGTTGGACTCGGCGATGATGTCGGTGTTGGCAGGAGTGCGAGGATGCTGACCGTGCATCAGGAAGAAGGGCGAATGTCCAGTCGAAGCTGAGCTGTGTGAGTTGAGCGCGAACTGGATGTATGGCACTTGATCGATCCAGCGGGAGCCGAGGGCCAGAGTCGAACAGCGGATGGCCTCGGCGACGGTTGCCACAAAGCGTTCGACTTGTCCGGCGGCCTCGTGGTGGTGGGCAAAGGCGATCCGGAGTTCGGTCTTGAGCAGAGTGTTAAGTCCTGTCCAGAAGGCCGACCGGAAGCGTGTGTCGTGATCCGAGATGAAAGTGCCGGCGAGTCCAAAGTGCACAAAGACATCGCGGAAGTACTGGCGGGCGACGTCTTCGGCCGAGTCGGTCTTGTTGCCAGGAACCAGGACGACGTACTTGGTGAGGGAGTCGACAAAGATCGTGATCGAGTTGAAGGTGCGTCCCGAGAGTGAGTCCGTGACAGGCGGGAGTCCGAGGATGAAGTCGAGGGCGACAGTGTCCATCTTGCGGGTGGCCACAGGGATCCGGGAGAAGTGACCGTATGCTTGTTGTCGTCGGATCTTGGCTCGCTGGCAGATGTCGCAGTGCGAGACCCACTCGGCAATGTCCTTGGACATGGCGGGCCAGTAGTAGTGTGTCGAGATGGCCTTGTAGAGCGTGTTGGTGCCGGGGTGAGCTGCACAGACAGAGTCGTGGTGGTCCTTGATGATCGAGATGCGGAGGTCCTTGCCGGGGATGCAGATGCGGGTCGAGTCGAAGTAGAGAATCCCGTGTCGAAGTGAGAAGCGGTGCAGCTGTGCCTTCATCCACGGCTTGAGTCCGTCGGTCGAGTTGTCGCGGAGGACCGAGATCAGTGCTGACAGGATCGGGTCGGAGCTGTACTGAGTGCGGATGGTGTCCAAGAGATCGTCGGGCGAGGGTCCGAGGTTGACAATCGCGTTGATGATCGAGACTTGGACGGCCTTGGAGATGGCTGTCGGTGTGCGCGAGAGCACGTCGGCGACCTTGTTCCACGAGCCGGGGATCCACTGGATCTCGAGGTCAAAGTCCAGCATCGTGTCGATGGCTCGCTGTTGGCGCTTGTTGAGGGTCTTGGAGTCGAGGATGTGCTTGAGCGCCTTCTGGTCGGTGTGGAGGAAGACTTTGCGGCCGACGAGGTAGTTCTTGAACTTGTCGAGGTGGCGGGTGATCGACAGCAGCTCGCCGTTGTAGGGCGAGTAGTTGAGTTCGGATCCGTGCAGTTTCTGCGAGTTGAAAGCGATGGGGCGCACCGTGCCGGATCCGTCCATGTCCTGCCCGATCCATCCACCAATCGATGCGCTTGACTCGGACCAGTCGGTGAAGAGGTGAATGTCCTTGTCCGGGTTGACCATGTGCAGCGACTGAGGCGAGAGCAACTTGAGCTGCTCGAAGGCGGCGATGGCGTTGTCGTCCCAGACGACGGACTTGGTCGAGTTGGCGGAGCGGGTGGTGATCAGAGTCGAGAGTGGACCGGCGAGGGCAGCGTAGCCAGGGACAAAGCTCATGATGGTGTTGGTCAAGCCGAGGAAGCTGCGGAGTTCGTGTTCGGTCGTTGGTCGCGGGTAGTTCTTGATGGCGTCGATGCGCGAGGGATGCACTTGGATGCGTCCTTCGCCGATGATGAAGCCGAGATAGGTGACGGTCGAGTTGAAGAACGAACACTTCTCGGGTCGGATCTTGAAGCCGTGTCGGTGGATCTTGTCGAGGACCAGTTCGATGTGGCGGATGTGCTGGTCCTCGTCCTCGGATGCGATCAGGATGTCGTCGATGTAGACGAACACAAAGTCGTCGATGAACTCGCGGAAGATGTCGTTCATCGCGGCTTGGAACACGGAGGGACTGTTGGCGAGGCCGAAGGGCATCACAAGCCACTCAAAGTGGCCGTACTTGGTCCTGAAGGCCGTCTTGGGGGTGTCGGCGTCGGCAATGCGGATCTGGTGGAATCCGCGTTGCAAGTCGAGCTTGGAGAAGACACGGCACTTGGACAGGCGGTCGATGATCTCGCGCATGTTGGGCAGCGCGGTGCGGTCCTTGACGGTGATCTTGTTGAGGGCGCGGAAGTCAAAGACGAGTCGGAACTTGTCGCCCTGCTTGACCCAGAAGATCGGTGCGCCGAAGGGCGAGACGGACTTGCGGATGTGGCCGATTCGGAGCAATCGGTCGAGTTCGTCTTTGAGTCGAGCGAGTTCTTCGGCCGACATCTGGTAGAGCGACGACCAGGTTGGACTTGGCAGAGTCGTCGAGTCGGATGTTCATGTCGATGCCGGGTCGGTGAGGCGGGAGTTCCTTGAGTTCGTTGAAGGCATCGCGGTACTTTGCGATGATGGATCGGTGTTCGGGGGTCAGTGGTTCGAGGACACGGGCGAGTTGGGCAACGGGGTCGTAGGGTTCAACAGCAACTGTATTCAAGTCACTGCTCAGAGTACAAACATACACGGCGCCGGGAGTCGAAGGCGAGTGCGTTGATCTGCTGGGTCGACATGTGGTACTGGGAATCGGAGTTCGAGGGTCGTGAGTGGCATTCCGGAGTCGGGTCGCGATGCCGTCCAAGTGTGGTGCTTCCCGTCGATCGAGAACTTGATTCGGTTGGAGGGCCAGTCGATCTCGGGGTTGGTCTGGTCGAGCCAGTTCTTGCCGAGGATGACGTCCCAGGTGAGTGGCGCGGTGAAGAGGTTGATGCGGGCGTGGTAGTCGTGGATGGTGAGGTCGACGGGATCGGTGACGGAGGACGGGAAGGACTTGCCGTTGGGCATCGTGACGGCGTTGGCGGTGGTCTTGGTTCGAAGGTCGAGGGTCGAGGCGAGGGTCTCGGAGATGTGCGAGTTAGTCGCACCAGGGTCGATGAGGACGGTGATCGGGGAGCCGTTGAGGGTGGCGTCGATCACAAGCAGTCCCTTGCCGTGATTGGCGGCAATGCGGTGGGGTTCGTCGATG